CCGACCCCGGCAATCGACCACGCCGTCAGGATGAACCCGTGGAGGGCGCCAATGTTGTAAGCGCCAAACATATCGGTCACGAAGGCCGGGATAGTCCCGAAGCCACCGCCGTAGCACAGCGTGAGGAGCCAGATCTCGACACGGAACAAGTCGTAGTTTTGGTTGCGCATGACCGTGGGCAGCGTGAGAAGGATCACCACTTGAGTTGCCAGCATGGTGAAGAAGATGCACTTGCGCGCAAATGGCGGGTTCAGGTGGAAGACGCGGACGAGAAAGTCCGACAACATTGGGATGAAGAGGCGGCCGCAGCAGTTGAACGCGCCGTTGATCGCGACGACGGTCGCGCCTTCAACCGGCGATTGCTTGAACACGCCCGTGGCCATGGGTGACAGCCGCGAGAGGACGACGAGGCCGAACACAATGTTCCCGAACATCATCAAGTACATGAAGAAGAAGTCGGCGGAGAGAAGGCAGTCGATCATTCGCATGTTCTTGACGTTCTTGTACCCGTCTTGGTGCTTGGCATGGCCCCCATACACGTCCGTCGCGGTTTCGTCGACGGCTTCGTACTGGGCAGCGTTGCCGTCGCCGCCTTCCTTGGTCACGACGGGCGATTGAAAGTCGGCCTTGCCTTTCTCGGCCTCCGCGGCATGGTCCTCTTCCCCTTCAACATGAATCAAGCCGTGGATGTTAATCCCGCCAACGTTGAACCCCGACGGCGGCGTGCGCATGCACAGCGCGCAGAAAAACATGACGGCGGACATGATCACGCCCAAAAAGATGAACGACCCAGGAAGGCCGAACGCCTTGATGGCAGGCAAGTAGACTACGCCCCACACGATGGAGCCGGCGCCGAAGCCGCCGACAGCGAACCCGGCAGCCGTCCCTCGCATGTCAGGGAACCACTTTTGCAGCGCCGACACGGGCGAGATGTAGTTGATGCCGAGACCGAACCCACCCACGAGACCGTAGCCAAGGTAAACGCCGAGCATCGATTTGTAGGTGAGCGAGATGGCCGCGATGATGTACCCGATGAGAAAGCACGACGTCCCGAGGAACATGCCAGCGCGGGGACCATTGCGTTCGAGCCACGGGCCCAGCAGCGCCGCGGTCGTGCCGAGGAGACCACACGCAATGTAGAACGTGTACACGGCTTTCCCGGCGGACGCGTTGTTATAAATGAACGTGTCGATCGGGATGTTGTAGATCGACCACGAGTATACCGACCCGCAGCAGAACTGGCAAAGGAACGACGCGACGAAGAGGAACCACCGGTTGAACGGAATTAGCGTGGACGTGAAGTACCGGTTGCCGAACCACGGCACGCAGATCAAGTACTTTTCGGCATCAATTTGCTCGGGGGATTTCAGCGGCGGGCTCGACGTCCAGTGGCGCGCCAGGCATTTCAAGATCGACGACATGGCAGGGTCTTCTCGACGACGTGGCAAATGCCAAACTGGTCCATCCGCTCGGTCCTCAAAGGCACATTGCTGCGATGCTGGTGGGACAGGTGAGAAGCTGAATGTACAATTTCAAACCTACTACTACATGGATAAAGACACAAAAGTAGTTTACTTCTTGGTGTTGGTATAAGAATAGGGCATATATTTTGAGCTTGACAGGACGCAGTGTAAAGGCACACTGGAGCAACCTGATGCGACATGGTTGAGCCAGGTGAGTACTCGCAGTAGATCCTGGCGTCCGTTCGCGGCAAGTGGCTGGCGGCTCGGGCGCGCCGATCTGGGCCATTGACGGCGTGCAGTAAGACTGTCCTCCGTTCGACCATGCCAACATCACCTACGAACTTGGCTTTACAGTGGTGTTGTTGGAACGGATGAGGCAGTAGCGCGATGGACGGCAGCCGGCGGTTCCACCTGGGACAAGCGCGATTCGCCCCAGATGCATTGTGACACGTCGGCGCGACTTCATGTGGTGCATTCGTTCAATTTAGAGGGGCCACTACAAGCAGTCGCCGGTTCCTTTACCTAGTGCCGTTTGCTTGGAGCTCCTCCTGTCGACCTTTGAATTTGGAGCACATGGGGAATGACAATGTTGGGCAAGGACGTCTGATCTACGCTGCGTTGGATGGCCACTCTCGGGGTGATATATCGACTAGTGACACTCCATACACACGCTGGAAAATCCCCCTCGTTCATAGACTCCTACGTCCGGTGAACGGCGTGCCACTGCTACCGGGCTCTGTCGCACCAAGTACGTGCGCGTTCACTCGTGGAGCGGCAGCAGCACCCGCCCCTCCCGCATCGGTTCTTCCATCAACCAGTGGATCCCACTCGGACGCTCGAAATTATGGGATATTTCCGGCCATGCTCGCGGATGGACCCTCCCTGTGTCAGCCTGACGTATGAACGGGTAAAGACGACTTCAACGTTCGTTTTGGGTTGTGCTCATAGAAAGTATGCACGATTTCACCTCGTGAACACGCTGCCTCCTGCACGAGTCAGGGTGTTCGAGTTTGACGTACAGCCCCTTGCGCACGCGATCGATGCGGTACTGAAAGTTGGATTACACTGGATTTCGCCTCGTTGTCTCCTCGCCACCACACGATCTCGTAAAGGTCCGCACCTTTGACTTCATCGCTGGTGCCCTGGACAATCTCAAGTCAATGCGATCTCGCTATCTCGCACTGCGATCCAACTTGATGCGCAAGGACGTTGCCAGCGCAATATGGATCGTCGATTCTTGCATGTTCAAATCGTTACCTCATCAAGGGGGCAAGTGCTTCACAACGTTTGCAATTGGTTTCACTTGTCAAGCAGCTTAACCCCGGGAATGGCATTACGTACGGAAGGGCTGCTGCCCGTGGGGGCCAACCCAGGTAAGGGGTCGGAACTGAATTGTGCAGAGGACAAACACGCCGAGGGCTGACGTAGCTGTTGTGAGTCCGCGCCTTGTTTGTCCAGACGGCGTAAAACCCTCTACATCACGCGGTATACGAATTCGCTCCATCGCTGGTCTCGCTCTGAATGCCTTGGATGTGGATGCAGAAAGCACTCTGATGTGGACGCCACATGCACTTTCAACCTTTGTAGACATATTTGCTCGCACCCCAAGGACTCTCGTTATTCTTGCAAGCAGTAGGCAGTTCTCGTAAGACAAGTCACTGGAAGTCATTCATTCGAACGAGCACAAATGCAACCGAGTCTCTTTGTGCTTAAAAAGGGTACCTCGCAGGAACTGACCCATGGTCATTGTACTAGTAGGGGGAAGCTGTATTAATAACGACTCCGATACTTTTTCGCAGAGGGACACTGAATCCGGATAGAAAGCCGGATAGCGCGGTGGAGAGGAGACTTTGGAGGTTGGAAGCAAAATGCAGAATGAATTATTGTCGTTTTTGGTGAAAACTGGACTTTTCACTTCATCGTAGCAAACAGTGAGTACATCGCACACTATTGACGTAGCCAATCAAATCGCATTGCATACTTCGCACGATC